GTGATGTTGTTGCTGATATTGTTGATGGTCTACGTTGGATTGTAGTTTAGGATGTTGATGTTTTTAACGTTGTTCTGGTTGGTATTACTGCTGCTGATAGTGTTGATCATTTTTATTGTGTTGTTTCGGGAGTTACCAGTATTAATATTGTATATTAGATTGTTGTTATATCTGACATTATCAGCAGCATCAACCACAAAAACATTAGGAATATCAACACTATCGGCAGCAGTAACACCAAACCACAACGACATTAGGTACATCAACATTCTAAACAACAATACAACGTAGACCATCATCAATATCAGCAACAGCATCACGTACAACAACCTATACACCAACACAACGATCAACATCAACAATCGCAGTCATAGCAATTGCCTAGCAAACGATCTGCAAAGAACATAAATCATATAGAATGCTTATTCCCATTTTTTGCTGAGTCATATCTATATATACGTATCTTTTTATTCTGTTTATAAAAACCCGCACCAGCAACTCTTACATACTTATATAATACTTATACAAATGAATTGATTAAAAAAAGGTAAGTGTGTGCAAATTTCTCGCTTTAGTACCGTCGCGGTACTCTATAAATTTTCAAACTCCTTATAACAAATGGAATAAATAGTTCAAAGCAAGTTTTGTGTGCAGGTGAGAGTTTTTGCATATCACGAACTTTAGGAGTGACGCGAGATTTTATTTTTTAATAACTATATTACATAAATGAATTAATTCATAACATGTAGGGTACACCACGAGATTCTATAAATTTCAAACACTATATTACAATTGAAAAAAGCTCCAAGCAAGTTGTGTTCGACTGTCGCTAGTGGGGATTTTTGCAAATTTAAAATTTTATCAAATAACTATTTAATACAAATAAAATAAACCAAAGCAAGTTGTGTGTACAAATCTGTAGATCTGCAACATCGTGAGATTTTAAATTTTCATAAATTTTTAAACACTATATTAGTTGCTGGTGCAGGTTTTTAAAAGTTTTTATAGACAGAAAAAAATGATACTTATTATATATGTGTAGATATGACTCAGCAAAAAATAAGAAATTGCTTTTCATACGGACCCATACTTACATATATACGACGACAGCCACACACTGTTACGCTCATTGTTTTTGCTTGTTTCCCTTCTGTCTTCCCTCCCCCATCATAAAATACTTTTGAAAAATATTCCAATATTTTTGTTAAGATATGATTTATATTCTATCGTAGTACATATATTCATATGAATATACATACATATGTTTAAGATTTAGTACGTGTAGATCGTTTGCTAGGCAATTATTATGACTGCGATTGTTGATGTTGACCGTTGTGTTGGTGTATACGTTGTTGCATGTGATGTTGTTGATGGTGTATGTTGTATTGTAGTTGTTCCGATTGGTGTTATTGCTGCTGATAGGGTTGATCTGTTTTATTATGTTGTTTCGGGAGTTGAATGTATTGATATTGTATATTGGGCTGTTGTTATCCCTGGCGTAGTTGTTGTTTTAGATCATTGATGGTGTATATGTTGTGTATGCTGTTATTCGTGATGTTTTCGGTGTTTTTGCTTATTTTGTTTATTACTGTCATAGTTGTATAAAATCTCTTGACAACAGCAACGTTGGGAACATCAACACTATCAGCAGCAGTAACACCAAACATAACAACGTTACTTTATTTATTTGAAAATTTTTTATTGACAAAGGCCGTACTAAATAAACATTTCTTATAACACAAATGAAAATTGACTTACTAACGAAAGCATATCCATGAATTGGAATTCATTTAATGTCGAAAAAACTTGTGCAGTACTTCAGCTGCATTACAATTTACATCTTCTGAGTTCCTCTCAAAAGTATTGATGTTGTTCGTTGTGTGGTTGTTTGGGATGTTGATGTTCCTAACGTTGTTGTGGTTGGTGTTACTACTGCCTAGAGATTCTATAAATTTTCAAATACTATATATAACAAATGAAATAGTTCCAGGCAAATTGTGTGCTTATGGGAGTTTTTGCTATCTCGATAACTATATTACACAAATTAAATAACTGAAAACAGATCGTATATGCTTATCTTGAGCTCTAGCAAATGAAATACAACTTTGACAGTAATAACAACAGCAATAACACAAATAACAGCATACACAACAGAAACACCATCAATGATCTAAAACATCAACAGCACCTACGTCAGAGATAACAGAGATAACAGCCCAATATACAATATCAATTCCCGAAACAACACAATAAACAACATCAGCAACATCAACCACAACAACGTTAGGAACATCAACATCACATACAACCTATACACCGACCCAACGGTGAACATCAACAATCGCAGTCTTAGTAACTGCCTAGCAAACGATCTGCACTTTTTAAATCTTAAAGCTATATACATACATACATAAACTATATATAGTACCAAAGAATATGAATCATATAGAATGTTTTTTGCTATTTTTGCTGAGTTATATATATATAATATATATAATTTTATTCTGTCTATACAAGTTTTTATAAACCCGCACAAGCAACACTTCCAATACACCTTGCTTTGAATTTTTTCATTTGTAATATAAAGTTTTAAAATTTATGAAAATTTAAAATCTGTAAAAACTCGGTAAAGCTCAAGAGCTCAAGATTTGTTTATAAAATAGTTATTTGAAATAAAATTTAATTTGCAAAAATCCCCACTTGAACACAACTTGCATTGAGCTTTTTTCAATAATAATATTTTGTTCGAAAATTTATAGAATATCGTGGCGCTAGAGCTAAAGATAAGCACACACTACATGTTATGAATTATTTCATTTATGTAATATAGTTATTAAATAGTTGTTAAAAACAATACAATCTCACATCGCCCCTAAAGTCCAAGATTTGCAAAAATGTCAACAGCATCTATAGAACCTCTCTACATTTAAATTTTTCTAATTAGTTCATTTGTATAAGTATTATATAAGTACTAGAGTTCGCCCAGCGGTCGAAATTCGACCAGAACCAATGCTGTAAAAATTGTATGAATGTGTAAAATAAAACCATATTTTTGTAGTTCAAATCTGTGGTAAAAAAATAACTTTATTGATATTATCAAAGTGTATAATTTGCTTTGATTAATGTTTTCTTTTAGAAAATGTGATGGGTTTTAGTAAAAGTCCCATCAGAAGTTTAAAACCTCAATTGTTAAAATTAGGTATACAACTTGTTTTACAAAAGTATGTCAACTATTTTAAAAATAAAAAATAACGAACATTTCTTCTATCGAGTTATTATCCCCTACATATTTACGCTACGTTCACAATGCTGGAGTACTCTACTGTACACACCAGTAAAGAAATGTTAGCTGTTCAAAACACTTAGTGGAAATGTTCTAAATAATTTGTCAAAACAATAAAAATATTTAAAATAAATAATGTCTTATCTAATTATAAATAAATTTTATTTGGATGTCATTAGTAGTCCATCCATCAGGTATATGCTGTTTACAGCATATACCATCCATCAGGTATATGCTGTTTAAATTCTCCCTTATAACACTCGACAAAGACTTCAGCAGACCTACATTTATTAAATTTTAATGTCTTCTAATAGAATTTAAAAGTAGATATTCTATGAGGTCTTCTAATGGGCCTTCTATTAGCCTTCATATAGGAGCGCATAACGATATGCATTGGCATATCCAATTACACACTGATTTTGTATATGCATAAGAAGAATTTAACGCCTTAATTTTTCATATATTTTGTAAGTACTGTTTGAAAGAAAACATTAATTAACTATAAATTTCAGTCTTTTGCTAATATATGCAAGTTTAATAGCAAGTAAATGAATAATAAACGTAAATAAGTACGGTTAAACACTCTTCATCCCAAAAGACATGATTTATATTTAGCAGTTTCATCTAGCAGTTTTATCTATTTTTATAAAGCATATAACCATCACCTATTCAACTTACAGTTTTCACTTTACACTACTATTTCCTAATTGGTTATGTTTGTGTCTGTCTAGTGTAACACATAGTTTATATTTTCTCTATGTGTAAAATCGCTAGAACAATATGCATTGTATGGCAACTCCCCACTTTAGTGTGGTGAGTTTGCGTTGCTCTTTATGTCAAAGGGCTTGACACATTTTTTTTTATTCTCATTGCTTTTCAACCACCGGACAGACAACAAATGCAAAATTAATAAAAGAAATTGAAATAAAATAAAAGTTTAAGAATTAAAATAAAATTAAAGTTTAATTAAATAAAAACAAAAGGAAAAGTGAACTTAAATAAAATAAACAGAAATACAAACCAAAAGAAGTAAACAAAGCTTTTTAATAAAATAAAAATAAGGGTTGTTTTTTGGCAACACAACAACAAGTGTTTGTGTGTATATAAAAACACATTTGGCCCTGACCTGCCGCATCAAGAGAAAACCAAGTGGACGGCTGCCGGAGACAGTTTGCCAACAACCAGCACCTAGGAACCAGCTCAGCATCTAAGAGGTAATAACCGGGATTCCCGATTTGGCCCCAAACATTGGTCCTTCGCCCGTAGAAAAAAAAGGTGCGTAAATTGAAATTATTAAAGTGCAAAGTGTTTCATATGCATATATTGTGGTTCATTATTTGTGGCTCGGAAAAAGTGAGGTTGTGTAACTTTTTGAAATTACATCGTGAACTTTTACATTAAGCCGCCATTTTTCCTTACGGTCATTTGTATTTGTTGTTTTATTTTTGGAACCTAAATAAATTTGTCGTCCATCTTTTTTCTCAAGTTTTTAAACTTATTGGAAATTGTGATTTTGGCGCATTTTAACTTAGTGGTTCTCTTTAACTCTTTTATTGGAAAATAAAGTTTTGTGGTTCTCTTTAACTTTGTATGGTGTTAAAAAACTTCAGTTTCTCTTTTCAATTCTTGATTTTATTTAAAGAAGTTTGTGACTATGTGATTTGTTTTAAATTTTTGGGAAAATATATTTTTGTGGTTCTCTTAAATAAATTAAAATATGTCGATTTTTGAAAAATACATAGTGGCTGCGGATGAATTAATCAGCTTTGAGGTTATGCTTAAAGCTGAAGATTTTTCTAGTTATACGGACGATGCTTTTGATTTTGAAAGATCAGAATTAGATAAATCATGGGAAAATTATAAAAGCATTTATAGTGATTGTTCTGATGTCACAATAGAAAAAAAGAAAGAATTGTTAATGGTACAAACAAAGCATCCGCAGGTCCGCAAGACATATATAAGATGTATAAACATTATTTCCAAAGCAAAAGCAAACTTAGGTAAAAAAACTGAAGAAAATGTAGAATCAGCAGTTCCCAATCTTTGTGGTTCCATATCCGTACCTCCTTGTGATACTGGTGTTTTTCATGGGGATTACGTTTCGTGGCCCACATTTAGAGATATGTTTACTGCGATTTACATAAACAATACAAGACTTAGCCCAGTAGAAAAGTTATTTTACTTGTTCAGAAAAACTGATGGTGAGGCTAGAGATATAAATAGGAATGTAGCTCTAACAGGAGAAAATTTTGAAATTGCATGGAAAAATCTAATAACTCAATATGAAAATAAACGTGTATTAATAAATAGTCAATTGAAAATATTGTTTAATCTGACTCCCTGTAATCAAGATTCAGCATCAGAGATAAAAAGACTCCAAAGAGAAATCAACAATTGTATGGCAATTTTAAAATTGTATAATGTTGATATTGGTTCATGGGATCCGATATTTGTGTTTCAATGCTCTTCGCGCTTATCTGAATGTTCACTGAATCTTTGGGAACAATCGGTTAGAAATAAAACAGAGGTTCCCAAATGGGAAGAATTAAACAATTTTTTAACAGATAGATTTCATGCTCTAGAAAGCGTTTCTGATATTATATCCTCGAATAATACGCATCCCAGTGGTTCCCAATCGGCACTTAATAGTAACAATAACCATACATCAACTAAAGTAAAACAATTTAAGGCCCATAATACTAAAGTTGAAACCATTTTTTGCAAATTATGCAAAGAAAACCATAAAATCAGCTCCTGTACCAGATTTTTGAATATGGATTATAGAAATCGTGTTTCAACTTTGAAAAAATTTCGTTATTGTTTTAATTGCCTCAACATTGGACATATGTATGGTGATTGTAGTAGCACAAACGGTTGCTCCAAGTGCAAAAGGAAGCACCATACTTTAATGCATAGGGATTTTGTAAATAAAAACAATAATAGCCAAAATCAAGGAAATACTAGATTTCAGGGCGAAAGTCAAAATAGTTCTGTCCAACAAATACAGTCCACAAATACAAATCAATTACAGTCCACTAATATCGCAGGTCCGTCTGGTGTTGTTCAGTCACATCACACATCAGTAGCTAAGAAAGTGATGTTGGCTACAGCTTGGGTCAATATAATTAGTTGTGGTTCCTATTACAAAGTTCGAGCACTCATAGATCCTTGTTCGGATGAAAGTTTTGTTTCTCAGAGAATACAAACTGTATTGAAGTTGCCCACTAAGCCAGTTTCCGCAGAAATTACTGGTTTAGGAGGAGAATTAGTAAGCAAATCTTCAAAGATTGCGAACTTTATAATTGTTTCTCTGTTTGATCATAATGTATCTCTAAATATTCAGGCGTTAGTAGTTCCTCGTGTAACAGGGAATGTACCTACACATTCATTTAAGCCACAAAAGAATACAGATTTGCCCAATCTGAATTATGCTGACCCTAAGTTTTATGAAAGTAGCGAAATAGACTTATTGTTAGGAGGAGATTTGTATCCCCTAATTCTTCGTGATGGAGTTCAACATGGAATTTTCGAATCTTTAGTGGCCCAAGAGACAATTTTTGGCTGGATTGTCACAGGCCCAACTCCAAGTAATGATTCCTCACGTTTTTCAATAACCAATTATATGACAAAAGTTTCCATGACGATCAGTTAACAAAGTTTTGGGAGTTAGAAGAAGTTTCTCGTAGAAAGATTTTATCAGAAGAGGATAAAAAATGTGAAGAGATCTATCGTTCTACTACCACAAGAAATTCTGAAGGAAGATATATAGTATGTTTGCCCTTTAAAGATACTTTTTCGTCACTTGGCCCAAATCGTCATATTGCTCTTAGTCAATATTTAAGAAATGAAAAGGTTTTAATGCGAAATCCTGAATTTAAGGCTCAATATGATGAGGTCCTAAAAGAATATATAGCTTTGGGACATATGGAAAAAATTACAAATTCTGAAAGTAGCTCAAGTTATTACTTACCTCATCATGGAGTTTTTAAGCCTGACAGTACCACTACAAAGTTAAGAATTGTTTTTAACGCTTCAAGTGCTTCTTCTAATGGTAACAGTCTTAACGATTTGCTGTTTGTAGGCCCTATATTACAAGCTGATTTAGTAGCCCTAATTCTAAAATGGCGTTTCTTTCAGTTTGTCTTCAATGCAGATATATCTAAAATGTATCGACAAATTTTACTTAAATCTGAACATAGACAGTATCAGAAGATAGTTTTTCGTAGTTCTGGGGAAAATAAAATCGAAGATTATCAATTGAACACCGTCACTTTTGGCGTTAATTGTGCCCCATTTTTGGCCCTAAGAACGCTTTTACAGTTAGCTGACGATGAAGAACGATGTTTTCCGCTAGGCTCTAGAATTCTTCGCGAGTCAATGTATGTTGATGATGCTCTTGTTGGAGCTCATTCGATCCCTGATGCTTTGGAGGCACGAGACCAATTAATTGGTATATTGGGTACAGCTGGGTTTGAGTTGAGAAAATGGGCCTCAAACTCTAAACAAATTTTAAAAAATTTGCCCCAAGAGCATCTTCTTAACTCTTCCTTTTTGTCGCTCGATGATAAAAGTAATGCTAAAACACTCGGTGTCCGTTGGAATGCGGCAGAAGATTACTTTTATTTTACAACTGAGAAGATTAAGTTCAAAACAGCTTATACAAAGAGGGAAGTACTCTCAATTATAGCAAGGCTATTTGATCCAGCAGGTTGGTTGGCCCCAGTGATTATAACAGCAAAGATTTTGATGCAGCAAATGTGGCTCGACAAAATAGACTGGGACGAACATATAAAACCTGTGGCTCTACAAAAATGGAAGACATTCATTTCTAATTATAATGAGATTGATACAATTAAACTTGATCGTTGGGTTCAATATACGCCTAGTTCTTATATTGAATTTCATGGCTTTTGTGACTCTTCTGAGTTAGCTTACGCAGCTACACTATATATACGTATTGTGAATGGTGATAAAGTTTATGTAAATCTACTAATTGGCAAAACAAAAGTGGCTCCAGTTAAAAGGCCATCTTTGCCGCGTTTAGAGTTGTGTGGCGCAGTTCTTTTAGCCAATTTAGTAAACAGCGTAATCCCCAATTTCAAATTGCATACGTATAACTTATATTTGTGGTCCGATTCGACAATAGTTCTTGCTTGGTTACGAAAACCGCCATGTAATTGGAAAACCTTTGTGGCAAATAGGGTAGCAACAATATTAGAAAAAGTAGGAAACAAAAATTGGTTTCACGTAGCTTCTAATCACAATCCTGCCGATCTAGCAACCCGGGGGCTGATACCTTCGGATTTAAGAGAAAACAAACTTTGGTGGCATGGTCCTGATTGGCTCAGATTAAACAAATCGTCGTGGCCCGAAGGTCCATTAGAATTCGAAACAGTAGAAGAATCGAAACAAGTCCAAGTTAATATTGCTAGATCCGCTGAACGAGAAGATATACTGGACCGTTTCTCAAGTTTGCCCAGAGCATATCATGTTATTGCTTATATATTTAGATTTTTTAATCTTGCGAGCAAAAGCAGACGTAAAAGCTGTAATTACGAAACTGTTAGAATTTCGGCTCAAGAACTTGTATTTGTACGAAATCGGCTATTTTTTCTCTCTCAACAGTCGCACTTTTCTAGTGAGTTTAGTTGTTTATCATCGAAACGGAAAATTGACTCTCGCAGTTCTTTATTAACGCTTACGCCTTTCTTAGACAAAAATGGTATTATTCGTGCTAATGGTCGTCTTGGGTCTACAAAATGTTTGTCGTATAATGAACGTCATCCCATAATACTTGCTTATGGCAGTAGATTAGCACGTCTATACGTTGAGTTTGTCCACTATTTGGTCTTACATGGTGGCCCTCGTTTAGTCCTAAATGTCGTTCGTCAGGAGTGTTGGATTATAAAGGCTAAAAATCTAATAAAAACGGTCATCCACAACTGTAAAATCTGCGTTATACATAGAAAAAAGCTTCAAAATCAGATCATGGCAGTGCTACCTGAAGAAAGAACTACTTTAAGTCGCCCTTTTACTAACACAGGTGTTGATTTTGCCGGCCCATTTGAAATCAAAAGTTTCACTGGTCGATATTGCCGTATCACTAAAGGCTACGTGTGTCTATTTGTTTGTTTCTCTACTAAGGCGATTCACATTGAGGCCGTTAGCGATTTGTCCACTCCTGCATTTCTAGCAGCTTTGGCTCGATTTGTTGCTCGTCGTGGTTGCCCTAGTCGCATTTTCTCTGATAATGGAAGAAATTTTGTTGGCGCTGCAAGAGAACTTGAAAATAACTTCGAAAAACATATAGAAGAATTACGTGATTCGGCAGTAGAAAAATATGGTCATCAACATCTTGAGTGGCACTTTATTCCTGCAGCAGCTCCTCATATGGGAGGACTGTGGGAGGCAGGAGTAAAAAGTTTGAAAATGCACTTTAAAAAGTCAGCTGGACAAATGAAATATACGTTTGAAGAGTTTTCGACAATTTTGGCAAAGATAGAATCGTGTCTCAATTCGCGTCCTCTTGGCCCTACGTCCGACAGCATCGATGATTTGTCCGCTCTTACTCCTGGTCATTTTTTAATAGGCTCTGCTATTCTTACTCCTGCTGAACCTGAAGAGCTTAGCTCGCCAATTAGTATAGTAAACCGTTGGCGAAAAATCAAAGCATTGCAGCAAGAAATTTGTCACCGCTGGAAAGACGAATATTTAAAAGAGTTGCACAAGCGTAATAAATGGAAAAGTCCCCAAATAGACTTAAAAGAAAATGACCTCGTTGTTCTTAAAAGTGAACCTTGTTGTCCAACTGAATGGCGCTTAGGTCGTGTTGTAAAAGTTTATCATGGTTCTGACGGTAAAGTTCGAGTGGCTGACCTTAAAACTCAAAATGGCGTAATCACTCGACCGATACACAAATTAGTTTTACTCCCTAATTGCACTGATTAATAATTCAATATCACCTTTTCTAAAATAAAGTTGCTCATTTAAACTTCTAGATTAAAAAAAAAAAAAATGGACTTCAACACCGATTATGGTTGCCCGCTTTGTAATCGCCTTCACGCCATACGACAGTGTTCACGTTTTATTGTGATGCCCGTGGAGCTAAAGCTCCGAGTTGTTGCCCAAAACTTGTTATGTTATAACTGCCTGGCTCAGTCGCACAGCCGAGCGAATTGTAGAAGTATAGATCGGTGCCGTCGCTGTATGCAGGACCATAATACTTGGTTGCACCCTTTGCCGCAGGGCCGTATTTGGTTTCCCATGACAGCGTTGATACGGGTAGTCACCAATCATGATACTGACGTCTTCATTAGAGCATTAATAGATCCAACAGCGGCCAGGTCAGCAATCATGAAACGTGAAGTCGAAGAATTGGGCTTACGGATTTCTAAAGGACGTACTGACATCGTTGTATACCATCGTCGCGAGGAGAAACGTCGCATAACGGTTGAATGTATTTTAGAAGACAAGATTTACGGCCGTAGCCCTATTGTTAATGTGGAGCGAGCAGACAAATATCCACGTCCAACAACTGTAGACCGTGCCAATGCGGACGTACACTGGCATATTAGTTGCCCTTACCAGCTTATCCTAGGAGCTGATACTATGAGCAGAATTCTGATTGGACCAGCTATGAGTCGCCCAGGACAACTATATGCCCAGAATACCATATTCGGCATAGCATATTTTGGAGAAGGTGTCAAAAGAACCTGAAGTATATTATTTATGCTATAATCTGTTGCCCTCAAAAGGCTTTAAAGTATTATTTACATTTTGTTTGATATGTACTCTTTAACGTTTATTAAACTTAAAAACATTTGAATGTACTATTATTTTTTATATACTTGAATTGTTCTCATATGTTAATTATATTTGTTAACTTTTGTTATTCCTTTTTTATAATTAACAATAATGAACTTAAAATGTTAATTTGTTGCTCTAGATAAGATAATTGAATTTGTTATACTACTTATATCTAATTTTGTATTTGATTTTATATTTTGCACTACCGTTGCAAGGTGGGCGGTATGTTTGTGTCTGTCTAGTGTAACACATAGTTTATATTTTCTCTATGTGTAAAATCGCTAGAACAATATGCATTGTATGGCAACTCCCCACTTTAGTGTGGTGAGTTTGCGTTGCTCTTTATGTCAAAGGGCTTGACACATTTTTTTTTTATTCTCATTGCTTTTCAACCACCGGACAGACAACAAATGCAAAATTAATAAAAGAAATTAAAATAAAATAAAAGTTTAAGAATTAAAATAAAATTAAAGTTTAATTAAATAAAAACAAAAGGAAAAGTGAACTTAAATAAAATAAACAGAAATACAAACCAAAAGAAGTAAACAAAGCTTTTTAATAAAATAAAAATAAGGGTTGTTTTTTGGCAACACAACAACAAGTGTTTGTGTGTATATAAAAACACATTTGGCCCTGACCTGCCGCATCAAGAGAAAACCAAGTGGATGGCTGCCGGAGACAGTTTGCCAACAACCAGCACCTAGGAACCAGCTCAGCATCTAAGAGGTAATAACCGGGATTCCCGATTTGGCCCCAAACAGGTTAGAATAACCCAAAAACGAAAAATATCATCAAATCCTCCCTGTGCTAAACCTGCATATAAGCGATATACATATCCATTTATTGCGGTATGTACCGGCATGACCAACTAAACTTTACTTATATTTTTTACAGGCTTTTTTTATTACTTACTGACACTGAATCAATTCATTAATCCATCATTTAAATCTTCAAAATCAATCAAAACTAATAATTATGTACCACAATTCAGTATTTTATTTCACCGATTTTTTTTTTGTTAAACATAACCGAAAAGTATCGGCAGTGTAACGACCAATAAAAAGTTCACGTTAATAATTTTATATTTTAAAAATATTTCAATACATAACTTTTGACATTCTTGTATTTTTCCAATCTTTGTCTTTAAAATATTATACGGTCGTTAAAAAGTTAGGGAATTGAAAATTAGTTAATGTAACCGATATTTGTCATTACTTTACGATAAAATTTAAAAAATTACTGAATTTCCGTACTAATGCCCTACCAATATTTTTCCAGGTCAAATACGAATATCAATACATTGTTTGACATATCTTCAGGTGTCCCCAAGCATTATTTACACATCTTTTTATATTCCCAGTTCGTTGTTTCCTCGGGAATGTATATATAAATATGAATATAAAACTGAAGTCCTAATTCTTATAAAAATATTCCTTTCGATTTGGTAACAATCTTAACTATATTATAACAAAATAGATCATTATCTCATTCACAATTTAGCACTTTACACAAAAATATAAAACAATAAAATCCTATTTTCTCTTTGCCTAAGCTTGTTTACATACATATTTGTTTACAAAATTCTTATTAAAAACAACAACAAAAACAAATATCATGCAAAATACAAAAAGAAAACGGTAACAGAGAAGTTAAACGTTTCTGCACGTTTCTGCACTTTTTTTAAAAAAGTAAACAACACGGTTTACTTTTTTGTTTTGTTTCTTGCTTTGTTTGTTTGTTTTTAATTTCAAGAATACGTACGTGTGACTATTGTTTCCATGTATTAGTAACAACTTTAAACGCTTATAGCTCGTAAAATTCATTCTCACTCATTAATATATATATTGTGCACATCTGCGAACAAATACCTTTAAAATGATATATTTTTTGCCAAGATCAGATGTATACTGTAAGAGTAAAAGGGGTCACAAAAAATCGTCTTGCCTATTAATTATATAGATACTAGAGCTTGAACTAAAAATGTAATCCATGTCAATAGATTTTTTTGAATGTAAATTTTAAGTAAATTTTAATGACGGTGGTATAGTGTTGACGTTTTATTCGTTAGTACGATTGTCGCCATCATCAGTTTCCATACTGTTAGTACGATCATCATCAATTTCCATTTCGTTTGTTTGGTCATTGTCAGTATCCATTGGTGTAATAAAACTGGAACTATTATGGTTGATTTCAATTTTACATTCAAAAACACATGGATTCCATTTTTAGTTCAAGCTCTAGTATACTTATATAATACTTATACAAAGGAACTATGTAATTTAAAACCGAGCTTGAACAGCGTCGCGATATATCCTATAAATTTTCAAACACTATATAACAAATGAAATAGTACAATGCAAGTTGTGTGCAGGTGAGAGTTTTTGCAAATCACGAGCGACGCGAGATTTTATTTTTTAATAACTATATTACATAAATGAATTAATTCATAACATGTAGGGTGCACCACGAGATTCTATAAATTTCAAACACTATATTACAATTGAAAAGAGCTCCATGCAAGTTGTGTTCAACTGTCGCTAGTGGGGTTTTTTGCAAATTTAAAATTTTATCAAATAACTATTTAATACAAATAAAATAAACCAAATCAAGTTGTGTGTACAAATCTGAAGATCTGCAACGTCTTGAGATTTTAAATTTTCATAAATTTTTAAACACTATCTTAGTTGATGGTGCAGGTTTATAAAAGTTTTTATAGACAAAATAAAATTATACTTATTATATATATGTAGATATGACTCACCAAAAAATAAGAAATTGCTTTTCATACGGATCCATACTTACATTATACGACGACAGCCACACACTGTTACGATCACTGTTTTTGCTTGTTTTCTTTCTGTCTTCCCTCCCCCATCATAAAATGCTATGATTTATATTTTTTCGTAGTATGTATATTGATATGAATATATGTTTAAGATTTAGAACGAGCAGATCGTTTGCTAGGCAATTACTATGACTGTGATTGTTGATGTTGACCGTTGTGTTAGTGTATTGTTGGTGGTGTACGCTGTGTTGTTGTTTAAAATGTTGATGCTCCTAATGTTGTTGTGGTTGGTGTTACTGCTCCTAATCACAGCAGTAATACAAACCATAACAACGTTACTTCTACATAACGTAACTCCTATAAAATGTTTTATTGACGATGGCCCTACTAACGAAGGCTTTCTTATAACACGAATGAAAATTTACGTACTAATGAAAGTACACCCATTAATTGGAATTCGATTAATGTCGAAAAAACATGAGCAGTTCTGTTCTGTATTCAGCTCCAAAGTATTGATGTTGTTCGTTGTGTTGTTGTTTAAGATGTTGATGTTCCTAACGTTGGTGTAGTGGGTGTTACTGATGTTCCCAACGTTGTTGTAGTTGGTGTTACTACTGTCGAGAGATTCTATAAATTTTCAAACACTATATAACAAATGAAATATTTCAAAGCAAGTTGTTTGCTGGTGAGATCTAGAGGCTATGCCATATTTTATCTATTTTAATAATTATATTACACAAATTAAATAATTAAAAACATGTAGTATACGTGTATCTTGGGCTCCAGTTGCTCTGAAGTACAACTTTGACACAACAGCTATAACACACAACAGAAACGCCAGTAATAATCTAAACAACATCAATAACAACAGCGCAATATACAATACAAATACAGGCAAATCCCGAAACAACACTATCAGTAGCAGTAAATCCAACCACAACAAGGTTAAGAACATCATCAGCAGTTATCATCAGCAGCAACACCAACCACAACAACGTTAGAGACGTCAACATCCTAAATAACAATACAATGTGCACCATCAACACTACCTTCAATATCAGCAACAATATCACATACAAAAACCTATACCCCAACACAACGGTCAATATTAACAACAATCATATACATTCATAGTAATTGCTTTGCAAACGAACAACACGTACATACATATATACTAGGCATTAGATCGAAAAAGACGAAGTCTCGCATAATTTATTAGAATGCTTCGATGTATTTATACCATAAACTACTTTAAAGTATACCAAACGCCTTAGAATAATTTTCTGAGGTCTCAACTCTTATATAAGGACTATTTCATCACAATTTCATTGACAATCAAAGTTTTTTCAATAATCTGTCCAAATATCAACATTCTAGCTTTAACCGTTGATGATTCAGTCAGTCAATCAATCGGTCACTCAAGGCTTTTATATATGTATGTATGGGCAATTTCGTGTCAAATTACCCAAATTTTATAGACACAATTTTCAGATCTATTGGTCAAGAACTGGGTTAGAAGGGATCAAAATTGGACATTTTGGTCATACAGGGCTTTTTTCAAATGAGTGTAACTTTTCACTTATTGGTCCTAGCAAAAATTGTCCAAAGGAGTTTAGAGTTTCTAAAAATACTTTCTTCAATGTCAAAGAAACCGATAACCAAAATTTCATGATTCTAGCTTTAACGGTATGGGCTGGGCGATGATGAATCAGTCAGTCAATCAATCAGTCACACATCGCTTTTATAGATAGATAGTTAGAAGATAAATAAATACAAAATTTTGTTATTTTATTTCATATTACATATTTTTATTTATATATTTTTTTCATATTACATATTACTAATAAATTACATAATTTACATATCTTTATCAAGAATAATATCATCATCTTCCTCCATAATATTACTGTTATCGCTTAAATTTAATGGTTTTATTTCAGAATCTGATGAATTAATTCCATAATGACCCCATGCATATGTTTCAACACCATTTTCTCTTATAAATCTCTTATCATCTAAATAACTTAAAGTTAACTTACGTATGTGTTGAGTGTAAATTTGGTGTACCTTAGATCTAAATATATACATGGAGTCATGATATAGTTTTTTCTCTTGTAAACATTCTCTGAAATTATTAATTGATAGTTTAGCTGTTACATACTGTTTAACACCTTTAATTTTTTTAATTTCTTTTTCAACCCTATCAATTTTAACTGAATACATTTTTGCCCTTAAACCAATGAATTCCTTAATAACTTTGCCATTGCACTCATCTTTCATCATTCCTAATACTTTTTTATTTACAAGCGGGATATTATAAATATTATCTTTCGGATATGCAGATGTATCGAAATGAGTAGTAATATCATTTCGAATATCATCATACAAGTCATTTGTTCTGATATCATATATAAATGAATCTGTATCCATGTAATTTAGATTAATGTTATCAAGATATTTAGGTTTCATATAATCGTAGTGAAAATTATACATTTTCCATTTTGATAACTCTAAAACTGAAAACCCAATATATATCGGTTTATTATATACGGTTTTTGCTCTTCTCATTTCGATTACAACCATATTTTCATTAATTTCAAGCTTACTATGGAAGTTCGGTTTAGCTATAAGAGCTCTAGCCCCTAATCGTTTACCTCTGTTCTCCCATTCACTGACTATTTTTATGTCTTTTCTCTTGTCAACATTTTCCATGGTCTTACCATATACAGCATTATTTAGTAACTTGAAGAAATTTTGTTCAAAGGAATTTTTTGCTAATGTTCTATGCTGATTGTTTAAATCGATGTACTTTTTTAGCCAATCTGATTGATTAAATTTAAGAATTCTATGGATTTTCTTTAAAATTAAACCATTTTCAATACATTGTTGGAGATTTTTGTAGTGAATTACGTAATTTGTTTTATTGTTTAAATCTGTGATTAACTTTTTCTGTTTCATTGTTGCAATTTTTTTAGTCTCTGCACAAAATGGTAAGTCATTATGGTAGTCATGTAATGAACTGGGGTAGTCTAAATCTACTTCTAATATATACCCTATTGGAGAATCGTCTTTAATATCATTTAAGTTAAAATTTTCAATGTTTTCAACCCATTCAAAATTTTTAAAAGGAAGGTATTGAGACATTGCATAACCGTATAAATTATTTACATCTAAATATATAAGATAATTTGATTCCTTCGAGGAATCATAATCACTTACATATTTATTATTGGCTATGGAATGACGGTTACTGCATTGAACAATACCACCCCTTATACCTCGAACGATAAAATTATACATATTAATATCTGTTAATAGTTCTAATTCTATTTTTGTAGTTTTCAACATTGCATCCCAAGACAGACCAGGTGTAGTATAATATTGGCAAGGATCTAAGTTGTAAATGTTTTTACAAACTTTCCTAAAGTTTTCAAATACATCACAAAGTAGAAGAACATCTGCTTTGAGATATAAAAGTAAATAGTCTAATAAAGTTTTACACTGGAATGTACTCCAAACATTTTCTGCATGTTGATATTCTTCTTCACTGCACGACTCATTAGTCATTTTATTGAAGAAGACTTCAGGAGGAGGTAATTGTGTTTCCTGAAGTCGATTCTCTGAATCTATATAATCATAGGGAAAAACACCTTTACGTTTCATTAGACTAAATTCATTACTATTACTATACACTGATTTTACAATATTTAAGTCATCATCGGATAAGTAACTAGCTAATTTTTCTAAACTTGATGCCATGAATCGAAATGAGTCGAGAAAACGTAATTCAATTGTGTCTTTTTCATTCACTGAAATTCTTTTTGATATTGATATATATAATTCCTTATTTAAAGGAATAATATTTATATCACCTTTAATAGATGAAAGTTCTCTAATAAACAAATGGCAATCATATGCCGAAAGATTGTGGAAAAATATAGGGATGAATTTTGCTATTTGATATTCTAAGTTACATTTATTGTGAGCAGGTCCTCTGTATTCACCCGTTAAATGACAATGATCTGCCACTCTATCATTATCTAATAATTTCTCGCAAATATGACATGTTGTAGCTTCATTTTGTTTCCTTTCTTGAGATGGCGTTAAAGAATTCATTGTTTTCTTTACACTTAAATGGTTATTATAAATATCTGAAGTATCAGCTACTAAACTTTTAAAAAAATGTTTTGGAGAATCTTCACCACTATATATTCTAAACTTGTCTAAACTAGAGTCAAATGAACACTTAATATAGTAACTATATGCATATGGGATATGCTTTTGTACCGACTCAACTTTAGTAGAATTCTTGAAATTTGTTGATTCTAAAATGCATTCAAAGTCAGCATAAACGACAAACGGTACATCCAATTGGTTCTTAAAATTTTTGAAATTGAGAATGTTATCACCTGATTTCGGCATTATAGTAACCATTTTGTTGCATCCCTCTTTGTGTTTTAATAAGGCTGGTTCATTATGAAAGTGGATGAGGCATGTATTACATACATGTATTGCACATTTACGTTTTGTTAGCCGACTTCTCAGCAATCTAAAATTATATGAAAAAAAAGAAGAAATTTAGGAACGATCTTTATAAAAATATAACTTCTATATTTTTATAAATATGTTTACCTTGATATATTTTTTATCCACACATAATGAACCCGTTCGTCTTCCTCTAATAACAACAAATTAATGTGGATTTTCTTTTCCTTCTGTGTGAAATAGAACGGACCCACTACATTGTCCCCTTCCAATCCGAAAACATTGACGCTGATGTCGGGGTTATTTTCTTCAAATATCTTTATCATATTAACGGCTAAGGGAAATTTTAAACTTTTAAAATTTAAAACCCTTCCGTTTTTTAGCGTTATCATTTCATCTTTAATTCTATCATTAATATTATAAGATTTCCACAAATTAACATGGGTTTTTACTTTAAATAATGCAGATATTATGGCCCATTTGAAGCAGTATTCGTCCTTATTATTTATATTAATGCAAGCTTTCTTTCGCATTATCTTTTCTGGCAATTTAATATAATTTGAACCTTTTAAACATTCGTATTTATTTATATTTAGTTTTAAATTCGCAATATCCAATAAGGTCCATCCACTGTCTCTCTCCTGAAACTCACTCATTTTCTTTATTATCTTATCACAATGATTTGAGTAATGTTGTTGTAAATCTTGCGATGCTGTTGTTGAGTCTATTATCTGCATTTTAGTTTGATGCGATATCTCTCCAGTTTCAGATGTTTCATTTTTAATTAACACGTAATTACAAATCAGTTCAAAATTGAATTTTATCGACATATGTTTTTGTAAATTTTGTTGCAGCAACTCAATTATTTTGTCTTTAATTGTACTTAAAAAATCTTCCACAATTATATTTGATTTATCTTCATTTTCGCATATATATGTAGCTATGCGATTCGTGAAAGATGATCTAATGCATTTTATATTATTATTATCAATTTGTTGAACACAATTTGCTTTATGAGTGTTTGTACGTAAATGAAGTGGCCAATTTTGTTGCTGTATATTTGATTTACACTCCGGACAATAAACAGTGTTTCCTTTATTTTCACTATGTTCAATTCGGTGTCTATGACTTAACAATTCCTGCCGAGAGCGAAAAATTAAGTTGCATGGTGTACACTTCAACGATGATGATGACGGACCATCGTGATGCAATCTCGTATGGCTTTTTAGTGACGAGTTCTGAGTAAAAACTTTTTCACAAATTTCACAAATGAAGCTAGCCATTTTTTTGCTGTTATTTGTTGACCGATTCCGTTAAATATCAAAACAGGACTGACTGTATTTTCTAACAAGTGGAGCTATTTATACTAAGAGGGGGAGACTTATTTTAAAAAGTTCTAGAAATTTTTTTTTGGTCCAAAATTAAAAAAAAAATTCGAAAATTCGAACTAATGTTCGAAAAAAAAAAATAAAACTGATAAAACCAGTTCCCGTAGACCAAATCGTCTCTTCAACAA